ATATGATTAAAAATACGATATGTACATCTTTTAACCGGCCTAGACAAGACACGAAACCTATTAGACGATCAAAACTATTTTTCCAAGGCTCCTTGATTATAACTTAGTGTTTTTAACAACACCATGGCACCCTGGATTGAAAATTAAAATAGGATTTGTTTTTAAGCGACAATGTCAAAAGTTGACATATGATATGTCATTCTATTCAGAGTGTCATTTTTTATCGAATAAAGTAGCAATATACCGAGGGTGCCTTTAAAAATCAAAAGATGTAATCATTTCGGTGAAACAGGAAGAGACCAAAAACAATTGAATACGTCAATAAATCCTAATTTATGTCATATACCTACTAACATACGAATCTGTTTTTTTATCTGAAAAAAATAAAAAGTTATAGGGGTGAGCCACTTTTGAGACGACCCGGTATATTAAAAATATTGTTTCATAATGTAATATCATTTTAAAATTCTTGTATGTTATTTTAGATTCTGATTTGATAATTTTAGAATAAACCGGAATATATTTTTAATAAAAAACATTATTAATTATTAACAGGGTTATAATTATGATTTTGTTACAATGTAAGTAAGTAAATAATGTATTGTAAGAGAAAAAATTCAGATTTTACATTTTACTAAAATATTATCTAAATAAGCGCCTTTCTACAACAACGCCACTGACTCCCAATGGGTAAATTGAGAGTTGCCTACCGGTCAAAAGTCGTTTCAAGACTTAAATGGATTATTTAAGTCAAATTTCTTGCAAATTTGGCCATATTTTATAGTTCTTGAACAGAAAAAGTCAATAAAATAAACACTTATGGACTACAAGCTAAGAAAATGCGTTAATACAGCCGGGGAGATAGCGGCAACAAAGCTTTACCGCACACGTGCGACACGTACTACAAGGTAATAAATGAATGAATAGGCTCCCTCGCCTCTAATCGGTGTTGTCATATTGTCAAGAACTTATCCTTTTTAAACAGTATCCGACTTATAATTTAGTAGTATAAGGACTATTTAATACATCTATGGAATATTAAAACCTACTTTATTAAACTGTAGTATTAATATCTCAATATATATGTGTATAACAAGAAAAAAAATATTGATAATATTAAAGACGTGACAACATAGGCTGGATGAGGAAGGCTTGGTCGACTGTACCCAGAAGTAAACATGTGTACAAAAAATATTGTTTGTCCGCGTTGAGATGTAAATAGTGTAGTCTATATTTTATTTTAAGTCTATGGATAAAACATATTGGTCGAATGTTTTCTTCTTTAGATAAAGTGGCCACTTTATCTATTTTTTTTATATATATTTTGATGTTTATAATCTTTCTGTTTTTCATCTGATTTTCGTGTTGTAAAAGAATGGAGAATGTTTAGGAGGGGGCTTGATCACCGCGACCTTACAGATTTATTATGTGTTCCCTTTTCTTGAGTTGATTTTCGTGATGTTTTACCAGTTTTTATTTCGATGAATTGTTATTGTTTTCTATAATTTGGTACATGAAGAAGAAACATTTTTTGTTTAGGCGATGTTATACACGTGCAATAAAAAATAAAATCAGAATAATATTTTTGGTCATATTTTCACATAATCAGCACCCTATTTTAAAATTAAGGCAGATAGTTGTGTTAATAAACTGATTAATGGAATTTCAGATGCAAAATAAGTATTTTCCTTTTCAAAAAACTTTATTCATTATTTCATTTCTTGTACGAGTTGCAAGTTTTTAAATGCATATGAAATAATTAATAATAATTTGAAAATTTTTGGTGGCTCAATTTTAGGCTCTTTATTATTTGGATTTAATGCTATCGAAGCAGTTCAATGGGAGAAAATGTTTGGTTTGGTTAGGTATATGAACAATCATACAATTGAAAAAATACGGCCATATTTTGAAAATCACTCGGTCAAGATAAGTACACTCACCAGCACAAAAAACGGGAATCTTATTTTTTTATGTATTTTAAAGTTTAATACATTATGTTTTAGTGGGCTGATTTTGATCATTTTTTTAAGCAATTTGTAGTGAAATTATTTGCCTTTTTAGTATCTGTTTCTAAATTAAAAATTAAAGTTTTCATGTCTCAATTATACGCGGGAAAACAAAATGTCGATAGTTTGGTGAATATTTGTGGAAACACCCTTTTTGTGAAGCACCCTGTGGAATATTTTCAGTAAACTTAGGAATTTAAAAATAATTTTATTGTATAGGTACACCTTTATTCGATAGTGTGTTTTTTGATTCATCTTAATAGTCATAATAGCGAATACCTCCAATAAAAATCAAACTTTTATTGGAGATAATCACTTTTATATAAGACGTAATAATAACGGTTTACAGCAATTTTAGCATTAAAAGCATGCATTTGGTTTTGGGTTCTCATCAACATACTTAGAAAAAAGTGTTTATTGTTTTTGTAATGTTACTTTCATTGAAAAATCATATTATTACTATTTATTGACAATTACTATACTAAAGATGGTTTTAAATTCAAAAGTATCGGCTATTGCTGCTTTAATTGATTATGGTAGATATCCGACTTCTACTTACATAAATCATAAACACGGATCAAATCATTTCACGGGTCTGTTGACTAGGACCAAAAGCTGATTGAAAAGAGTGATTTTAATGGAAAAATTACGAAAAATATTTAGTGTCTTCTTTCAAACTTTCACCAAAACAATATTGTGTGTTCCCTCGTATAATTAACAGATGGGTATTAGAAAGAGACAGTAATCCCCTGCATGTTATATGGAAAAAAAACCTGGGTGCCGTATCGCCGGTACACGAACGCATTAAACAAGTTGCAACAGAAACACCTTAGACAACTGTAAAGAATCAAAGGGTACCACCATGTCTCAAACATATCAGTTCTTGAAAAAGCTAGCTGCGAGAGCGCTGAAGTCATGATTACTAAATCACGCTTAAGATGGGCTGGCCACGTATGCAGGGTGCAAGAAAACCGCCTACCGAAATCTCTTCTTTACGGTGAGCTTGTAGAGGGTAAGAGGGAACCGGGTGGACAATTCAAAAGAGACAAGGATATTTTCCATGAAAACTTAAAGGGGTTAAGCATGCAGAATCGGTGGGAGGAAACAGCATACAATAGAACGCAATGGAGAAGAATAATTGTAAACTCAGTTAACATCGACAACCGAAAAGTAAAGAGGCAACTAAGTAATGAGAGATAACATCATGTATCGGACTTTTCAGTCACAGAAAAGCTCATGAAAGAAAATGCCTTGCGTACCCATCTTCTGATGCGTGTCAAATACTCGTCAGCGAGTAATGGCAGTAAGTAAGTAAGAAAGAGACTAAAAAGTCAAATAATTTAGCTAGGAATTGATTAAAAAAATTTCAAAATCGGCATACTGAAACATAATAGAGGAAAGGTGCCATATTTCGGATAGTTTTTGTTTTTATTTATAATAAAAGAAAATAATTAAATTGGACTTTGGGTATACAGGTGAATATATTTTTAGGGGTATAATAAAAAGTTATACACAGTCAAATAAGATTAATTTTAATACAAAAACACTTAAAAACCTAAAAAATCTAAAATATGCATTTCTGTGCTTTGAAAAAAAAGTTGCCTAATTTCGGATGACAAGTTTCCTAATTTCGGATTTAGAGTAAAAGTAATATAAAGAAGGCTTAACGTTAAAAATTAAGATTATTTGATTTAGTTTATGCGTCCATACAAATTTCACACACATACTCTTTGATTTGATCATAATTTGCGCATTGCTCATGAACCCATCGGCCACATTTTACACATTTTACCCATTTTTCTCCCCTGACATCTTCCGAAAATAGACCATAACAGAACATACATTCCACATCAACATCACTAGCGTTCATGTCAGAATCATCATCGAGTATTGGATCCTCCTCGGAACTACTAGACGACGTTTCAGGTAGTCCTTTTTTCTTTTTTATTGCCAGCTTAGGTTTCTTTAAAGGCTTTGTCTTCTTGCCTTTGCTTTTTTCTTGACCTTTACTTTTATCTTTTTTGTTGCTCTTGCCCTTGTCGTCACTTTCAGTAAAATTTCTTTTAACGTTTTTTTTTATTTTTTAGAGACTCTTTTCTCTCTTTTTCATTTTTTGAAATTTCTAGCTCGTTCTTGTATGGAGTGCTGGTAATGACATTACTTGATCCTTGCTTCCCTTTTTGTTTCCCCTTGCGTTTTCCTGATGTGTTTTGCATTCCACTACATGAGGGAATAGGAATGATGTCTTCAGGCGTTATTAGAGTAAAAGGCTTTTCAGCTACTTTCGGGGCTACGAGTGTTTCCTGCTCCTCCCTTTTCTCTCTTTCAGGTGTAGTCTGAATCTCCAATTGCTGCACATTTTCAGAAGTATTTAGGTCAAAGTATGAGTCCTGCTACGGTGGTGTTCTTTCCCTTTGTCTTTCAATAGCAAAATCTACATCCGAAAAAGCATCTCTATTAAAGGGACAAATTCCCGATTTGCGAAAACCGTTGACGGATATTTCGGCAGTAGCACACTTTAAATATGCTGAGGACATTAATTTGCATATTTGAAATGCCGTAACGTTGCGATCTGGATTACTTTTCAGCCATGATTGAATTGATTGTGAGTAGTAAGTTTTGAATGGAGCCATGAAAGATAAGTCCAGAAGCTGTAACTGGTGGGATGTATGGGGAGGAATGCAAATAATAGTCAAGTGATTGCTTCGAGCTATCTCAATAACGTCCAAGTTTCTTGTGTGGCTATAGTGCCCATCCAGGACTAGTAAAACTGGATCGTTTTCTGTTGGTTTAACGTGGGCAATAAAATGTTTTAACCATTGTGTAAATATGTGTTGCTGTATCCAACCAGAAGGATGGCAGGCAGCAATAGATCCAGGAGGAGCCCCGTCTAATAATTCTGCTTTCATGTTCTTGCGAGGGAACACGAAACGTGGTGGAACAAACCCCCCTGCGGCATTCATGCAGAACACGACTGTTATTAAGGCGCCTCTTTCAGCTGCAGTTACTGCGCACACTTGTTTTTTTTCCCTTTAAAGAAATGACGCGGGGATGTTTGGACTGGACTGCTGTTATGCCAGTTTCGTCCACGTTATATATTCGTAAAGCATTGAATTGAATTTTTTCCATTGCTGGCTCAAGTAAATCAAAGAAATGATCAACATTTTCCTTTGTGAAGCCCTTTATTCTAGCTTTTGATAAGCCTTGTGGTTTACGTAGCGTTAAGTTTTTATGTCTTCTTAAAAATGCACGTAACCATTTTTTTCCAGCTTGGCCTTTCTCACGAGAAAATCTATGCGAACAGCCATTTTTTTCAGCAAGTTGGTAAGCAAACCTTCTGATGTCTATTGTACTTAGACCAAAGAAACGTCGATCCATTTCCAAACAATAATCAACTAACATCTTCTCCAAGTCTGGCGAAAGGCCAGGTCTTCTTCCGGCTGGAGCTGGAGAACTGCCACGCTTGACATAGTCTTCTAAAGTTGATTTTAGAACATTAAAAGTGCGCGAAGCTTTCAAATATCCCATTTCTTTGTTTTTTTATGGCATCAATAGCGTTCTGCATGCTTTCTGAAGACCAGGTTTTATGTTTTTTATTTCTTTCAGGCATTTGTGCAACTAAAAACACACCAATAAAATACCTATTGAAATCTGGTCTCCCAATTTCGGATATCCGAAATTATGCAATTGAGTCTATCCGAAATTAGGCAACATGTCATTTTGAGGTTAGGTCGCCGGTAAAAATTGTTTACAACAACAAATTGAAATGTGTTATGCATAAGATAAACTACAATAGTTGACCTACCTTTTTGTATATTTAAAGTCCTAGTTAAACAAAACACCACCACAAAAACAATTGCAAAATGAAGTAAAAAAATAAACTCAAATAATTGAAATACACGAAACAGACTATAGATCGGCTAATAGAGATACAACTAATTTTTTTAGATAGACATATTTCTACTACAGCTCCTCGAAGTTTTACAGAGATTTCGGCAGCTCAACATAGATGGCGTTGGAGATACCATGGTATCCGAAATTAGGGAACTATCCGGGGTTTGGTACCTTTCCTCTATATATAAAACTTCAAAATAATTATCAAAAATTTTAATGCGCCTAATGTATCGGTGACTGTATTATAATATACCTATTTTAAAAATTTCTTAGATACCAAAAACCTCTTTCGACCACATTAAAATTTAAAATTCCAAACAAAACAAGAACCTACAGACGTTCATTTAATTTTCGATTAATGTAGAGTAGAAATTCAGTTCGAAAGATCAGCAAAAAACTTGCTAAACTAGAGCGAAAATTTATCGAGGCGCTCCAACTAAAACTACTGAATTTCTAATTAAGAGATATGAGTTGGCTTTTAGCGTTTTGTTTTATAAAACTCGTTGGAAGTTTGTACCGGAAAATTATTTTCCGACTGATACAATGTATAATTTTGTACTATAGCAAATTATTGTTTTAATATTTATAGCTTCAAATTATTTTCCGTAAGGTTGCCGCAATAGTAATTTAGAATGACAGAGAACGTACTTATTTGGAAAAGTGGCAAGCTTAATATTTCAATTTAAAATTATAAGATATTTTGTAATTATCGTAAATTAGGTGATGTGAGGTGACTGTTTCGGAATAGAAAAGGTGGACGGTAATAATTGTATATTACGTAATATTAAGTATTAGCGTTAGGGAAGTGTTTATTGTTTCTTTAATAATAGATATAAAATAACATTATAAAATACACTATTTGAAACTGTAAAGCCGCATACTCACACTTCGCTCCTTCGTCCCTTCCTCGCGTTACTTCGTCACTTCACTTCGTTCCTTCGTCCCTTCGCTTCCTTCCTTCGTCCATTCGATGCTTGGAAATTAGTCGATTATGCAACAACACACCACAAATATTTTTAATATAGCAGTTCCATGTTTATTACGAAATATCTAGTAACCTCTAAAATTTTTAAAAAAATCCGAAAGGCGCATAATTTTTATTTTATAAAACTGCAATTCTTTGTCGTGTCAAAAATAAAAAATGAATTTTAATAATATATATTTTTTTAATAAATCCGAATATTTCAGTATCATGTACAAGGTATATCAGTATGAATGTACAAGGCGAGTCAACAATAGAGAAAATTGTATTATGTAATTTATATCGAAACTATGAAATATGACATACTAATTAAACGTTGATGTCAATCCCCATTTCTTGAGATATTTTTGTAAAGGCATCATGCACACTATTTCTATTTTTTTATTTTTGTCGCTACGATTACATAAATATGGATATGAAGACAATATTGTTTTTTTCTTCCATTTTTTACTACGAGGTACGATTAGGTATTACGAAAATACTTGTATAAGTAAGTAGTGGTTATTTAAACTATTTATAGAACGCCGATGAATTGCTCGTATAGAAAGAATTTCTATACGAGCAATTATATATATATATATATATATATATATATATATATATATATATATATATATATATATATATATATATATATATATATATATATATATATATATATATATATAATATGGTCTGCCAGTCCGACCCTGTGTCGATCCGTTCTGTAAATATGGGGTATCCGTAAAGGGTAAGGGGAAATACGAAATTCTTTCTATACGAGCAATTCATCGGCGTGCTATAAATAGTTTAAATAACCACTACTTACTTGTACAAGTATTTTCGTAATACCTAATCAGTTTTATTTTTTTCAATGTTTTTCGACGTAAATGATACATAATTTTTATAAAAATTAAAAAAATATGGAGAAAAGTAATAAAAAATTAATAAAATCTATCACTGTTTTCCAAGCTCGGTCTACTACCGTTGTATTAAAATTAGAATAAACATGGAAGGATTCTACCATATCTTCTAAGAATTATAAGTTTAATTTTTAAATTATTTTTATATTCATTAAGTCCAAAATGCTGCTACTTCAGTTCATTAAAAATGCATTAAAAATTTATTCGTTTTTGGACTTGTATGTTTTGCATCTAAACCGACGATATTATAAATACATATATGGTTAGGAATATCATATTTTTTAAATTTAATTGATTATTTCTAAATCTGTTTGGGTAAACATATTCAATTCCATTTTCAAAATTTCAAACAATAAAGGTTGCAATCTCCAGAAGTATATTTTTATTTCTTATTTCTGGAAGACGAATATCTGCTATCTCCCTATTGTGAAAAAAATTATATAACTCTATCATATTATCTCTTTATCATATTAACGCATGAAAATACTTCCTACATGTGTACATATTTTTTGGTACCGTTTTTTTGCTCTCCTCTAAAATTGGGAATAATGGAGTTAGCAGTTTATCACATTTCACCGACGACATGTTTTTTGAAACACCCAGTATACATAAATAAAACATAAACCACCAACCTGAAAATTATTTAGTAGTTTATAGTAATATATAACTAGAGCTAAAAAACAAAATACAACTAGATTAATTTATGTTAACCACATCCAGGAAATTTCACTTAGAAATAATCTTCTGGAAGAAATGTGTTCTACTTATTAATTTTGCAGAAAGGCCTAATACCATTTCCCTAATTCGCTTAAACAAAAGTTTTTTACTAAACGCAAAAAAAAACAATTTCAGACCTTTTTTTCATCAGAAAAATTGGCAATCCAGAAAGCGATCTTTAACAGTTATGATAGGAAGTTTTATAGTTTATTATAGTCGATAGGCAAAATCATTTGATATGAGGAAGGACTAAATAGATTTCCTTATGAAAACCAAACAGAAATAACAGTTTTCGAACTATAACTAACATTCGCAAACTTTTGCTTCGCCTATGGCAAAGTTAACTAACAATTTTCTCTTTTATGGCCCCATTTACTTCCCTTCTATTGGATTTTCAGAAGCATAGTAATAATGTACCTTCGATATATATCGTTCGCATATTCTTATGATCGCTTTGCAGATATGAAATGATCCAGATGTAAATAAATAATGTTTTAAGGGTAATTTAATTCTTGCGGAAAATACAAATCTAATGGGATTTTATTTTATTAGATTCTATTAAAACAACCGTAAGAATAATGGTTGTTTTCGCTTTATTTTCGAAAAAAAGAATTTACTTAGAAGAAAGTTTTCAGAATAATTAAGTAATATCGGTAGCATACCTAATATGCTATGTAAATTTTAAAATATGACAATATTTCCAACACCAAAAACATTTAACGGCAAAAACGTATGAAAAACAAGATCATGAGAAAGATTACATGATATCTCACAACTTATACAAAGAACTGCCTTCTGAGACTTGGCATTTTTGTACATTTTATGTTTTTTTATTGGGATCTCATTTATTTTTGTAGTCATCATCTTTTTTTTTTGGGTACTATATCTTATATATATATATATATATATATATATATATATATATATATATATATATATATATATATATATATATATATATATATATATATATATATATATATATATATATATATATATATATATATATATATATATATATATATACTATTAGGGGGGCCCCAGCCTTCGCGGGCTCCCTTTATAGTTCATTATTTATTCCTAACAATATTTGCTTTTGCATTGCATTATGGCATTTGCATTGCATTGGTTTACCTTGCATTAGGGTAGTTCCCTGATTTCTATACAGGGTGGATCTTAAATAGGTGCAAATATTTTCAGGGCTGGTAAATCTCGATAAAAAAAACATATTTTCTCTTTACCGTTTTTCAAATAAATCCAAAGCAACCGTGTTATTTCACTTTCAAAATTTCCAATTTTTCGTTATAATTTTGAGAATCATTTTTTTTTCTTTCTTGTAAATTTAATCTCCTACCTATGTTGCCATATTACAAACAAAGTATGTTTTTAAACTAAAAATTTAAACAAATTCCAAAATTTTTTTTTGAAAAAATTCCAAATTTTCAAGAAAAAATATTTCGCACAAAAAACTTCATAATCGTGTTTCTTGGGTCGAAATATACTACCCCTAAAATATTTGCACTTATTTAAGACTCACTCTGTATATAATAGGGAAAAATTGATCAAAACGTAAGGCGAAAAAATATGCAAAAAAATCCACACCATCCTTACATTGCCACCTGGACCCCTTTGGCCTAGTGCGACCCTGGATCGACGTACTGTACTAAAGAAATATACGAGTAAGAATTCGTGTGTTTGCTTTAGCGTGATCGTAGCGCAAATTACGGAGATAGCAGCATTTCGGTGGCATTTCATATCACTGGGAGTTAGCAGATATTATTGAGTTAAAATAGCAAATTTTCTTTAATGGGAAAAAATGTATTTGCTTTCCCTACTTATAGAGTATTTTTTTCTCTTTCTAATGGTATAAAAAACTTATTAACGTAAAAAATGGAGTTAGCAGGTTATCACGTTTCACTGACGATGTGCCATCTCTCGTGGGAAGATTCCTCACGTAAAAATAAGATTTATTTTTCAAATAAACATAGATCCCATTCTATTTTGTTTCGTAGCTACAGAGTGCTAATAAAGTC